CGATCGATAACACCCTGAGGGTGAATTCATGTGTGCCGTGATATATATATATATATATATATATATATATATATATATATATATCAATCTGTGGTAATGATATTGTGCATTGAAGTGCTTGCGGAATAAAAAACAGAATAGGAGTAAGAAAAAAAGATGCTCCGTTTTTGTCGAGTAATTCACGCAATTTTTGAGTTTTTTAATTGCTTATTTTACTAAGGAAGGGAATGGAAATCACCGCAACACGCAGAGATACATGTCCACTATTGACATCGGTCTTGAGCAATGACTTCTAGCGTCTCCAATCAGTGATAATGTCTCTGAAATCCCAACCATAGAGTCGAGAACAACCGACCGAGGCCAGCGGTTTCGTCAGCATTTTCATGCGGCTTTTACAAGTTGTACGTTGTCCACCGCGCCGTCTCCTTCAGCCCTGTCCAGCAACCTTAAACAATGCCCGACGCAGAAAACGATGAGTGGGCACGCACAGTACGTGTCCAAGCCACCGCAGCTGGACGAGTTCCTCGAGTGAGTGGCTGCCTCCACCCAAGATACCCTGTCTAACTTCCACATTGGTTACGTGGTACAGCCACCATCATCATCATCATCAACAGACCACAAGCAACGGTGATCGAAGACAAACAATTGGCGCAGCCCAACAGTACGAACAGGCCAAGTCTTACAGCTGTACAACAGTACGGCGCGGACAGTGGTACAATTAACCCGCCCTCTGTGGAAGGTTTCGGTGTGGCTCTCTCCCATGCCTGCACTCCATGACCGATGGTTTCGTCTTGATTTGGACTCATCAGGTAGAGATAGCCGAGCTGGGAGTAGTACTCGGCGCATAGTGCTTGGCGGCTATCGCAATGATCACTAGGCCATTGAGTTCTGCGAGCAGTCCTTGACACGGCTGTTAGGAAATGGGTGGACAAACGACCCCACAAGTGCCTCAGTATGCAGAAAGCGAGAGGAGCTCTTAAGATACGCATCGAAATCTCATCCCCAGCAGCTCCACCGGCAGTGATGCAGCTTCCCAGATAGAAAAAAACACCACAACCTCCAGTGTCTCACCACCAAGAGTAAGTGCAGATACTGACATCTGAGTCTTGAAAAGGGCATTGCATTTGAATGGGGAAAAAGCCATCCTATACTTTGACCCTTCAATGGCTAAACGGTTAAGTGCAAGTTGGATGGACTGAACCGTCACCCAGCAAGATGATATCACCAGTGTAGTCCAACACAACAACTTGGCTATCTGGGAGGAGCTCAACGCCGGCGCTCAACGAACTTTCCAGAGCATCTTGAGGACATCTTCAGTGGCAAAAATGAAAAGGAATGAGGAGATAGGGCATCGTTGTCGAACTCCACTGGTGACAGTAAAGGAAGGCGAAAGCTTGTCATACGTCCTAAATCTACCCGAGGTCAGACTGTACATAGCATGCAGCACGTGAACCAACTTCCCGGGGACGCCATTCCTCAACAGACAGTGCCACGGTCGACAAAATCGAAGGCAGCACAGATACCCAGGAACGTAACAATCAATGGCTTTTGGTACACATGGCGGAGCTCGAGGATCTGGCGGTGTGAAAATTTATCGATGCAGCCGCGACAAGGACGGAAATCAGCATGTGCTTCCCACTGTAGTGATTCGCGAGTTAGGGATAGCCTTCGGAGTATGATGGACACCAGAACCTTGCAAACGACGGGAACCAAGCTGATTCCCCTGTAGTTGGAGCACCTTGTGAGCAAGCCCTTTTTGAAGATGGGGACGGCTATCGACTGATCCCAAGATGGTGGAATCTCCTCTTTCAACCAGGCTTTTGAGAACAAAGCAGTGAGTTCTCAGATCAGCGAACAGCCACAATTCTTAAGTAGGGCGGAACGTAAGCCATCACGGCCGGATGCTTTATAGCGCCGCAAGAGGAAGAGTTTGTGACAGATTTCCTAGTGAGAGTGAGGATCTGTGGGAAGTAGGGGAAGTATATGGGGCTGGAGGTCAGCAAAACTGTGAGCCAAAATGTTCAGCCCATCGCTCCAACCGTCGTTGAAGATTAGTGATCAGTGGACCATCCTCTTCACAGATTGTTTCGCTTACAGCAGACGCGAAAACTTCGGTGGCTCGGATAAGATGGAAAAGTTTTCTGGTATTAGCAGATGGACTAGGGAGTTCACACCACTAAGTTTCACGATTCTTTTGTGAACTCCTGCGCAATTCTCAATCTAGAGATCGGCGTTTTCACTATAACTGGCACACTCCGGGGCCGAGAGGTGTCTGTGCATCAGCGACAAGGAGACAGCGATGATCCAGCTTTTCGGCGGGTGATGGGCAACCGCAACTATCTATGATGGCAGAAACTAACGCATCTTTGATGCGCATCCACTGTGAATTCAGACCGTCGTCAGAAACTTGGATAAACGATGTTGATAAGGAAGCCTGGTACTTAGCTAACCTCGTAGGGTCTTATAGATTTTCTATGCTCGGTCGGTAGTGCGTACGTCTAAACGATCCTCCGAAATGTGTGCATAACTTAGCGCGAACCAATGCCTTATCGGAGTCCAGTACGAACGGTAGTCGGATACACTTCCGCGCCAGCTGTAGGTTATTGCTATTTGGTTAAACTGGGACTACTCTTGCGTTTGAGAAAGCATGGGCCAGGTAGCAGTCAGTCTCTTCAACTGTCGAAAACTGGTGCTCGAAAGAAACAAGTGATGATCAGAATGAGTCAACAGTATGTCTCTATTGTCGGATCAACTGCTACCGAGGCCAAAACTACCCCCAAGATGATGTTCGCTTGGTGGCAGGCGGCTCACTTGTGCGTTTAAATCCCTGGCAAGGATGAGGATATCAGATCTTTTAGCGGAACGCAGATCATGTAGTTGTTGGTAAAAGCAATCATTGATTGCATCCGGACCGCAGTTTGTAGGAACGTAGGCGGAGACGACAAATGAGGCGCGTGTAACATCTCGACGCTTAGTTAACTTACATGAACCTCGTAGTCTGACTGCACATAGCCGACTGTTGACTGGGATTCAGTCAAGAAGAGCGGACTCAGCCTTGTCACTCAGAGCAACCCCAACATCAGCCTGGCCAGAAGCGGCAGCCTCAGATTTCCCGGAAAGGCGCAAATGGTATTTGACGTCAGGGTTTGACGGAAAAATCATTCTGATGATGGTACTGGAGTCTTGCAATCTAGTTTCTGAGAGGCAACAGATGTTTACCGAAAGCGTCTCAAGAGTGCCGGTCAAGGCTGCTTGCCGTCCGATCCGTACCAGAGTGCGAACATTGAACGCTGCGAGGCCTAATGGAGAACGGGGTCGAAGAAAAGTTGGGGCTTCGGTAGAGTAGGAGAAGGCTGTGATCGCAGGGTATCGAACACCAGAAGTGTGACTCTGACTTCCGTCAGGTGCGACGAGTGAGCTGTTGTTGGCGGTGACCGAGGTGCATATAAGTGCAGTGTAATAAAGGGACGTCGGACGACCTGGGAGTGAAGATCGAACAATGAGGACAGTAGAGTAGGTATACATAGCAAGTGAAAGCAGTAGTATAGTCCATTCATGATTCGTTAATGGGTATGACCCCACCCGGTTGCCCAGACCGAAGTAGAGGTTTGCCTTAAGAGACCCTACCCCGAGCCTTTGATCAAGGATCTAACCTACAAGGCAGCAGAGCGATATGAAGGCGTCGCAACACGTTGGGACCAAGCAAGTGGTTCATACGCCTTTAGGACCGCAAAGTACCAAGGGTCCAACACACCCTTGAATTGCAATGCCACTCAGAGAGAGGCAAGGGGCAATGACTTTATTTAATGGCGAGTTACATCCGTTAAGCTGCAGTGTTGTTAAATGGACGTATGTGATTTTTTATAAGGAGAACGCTTGCCAAGGCGAAAAGCCATCGCGTCCTGAAACACTGCCGCCGAACCATTTGCTAGGACGGGATAATCCCGAACCACCCAGCTGGCACCACGAGGTTGTTCAGCCATCTATGGATAAACTTTGGTGCTAATGAGCTTGACTAGGATGCCCCAACAATATGAATTGGAAGTGGTAGATCACAATGCCCATTTCGGGTAATTCTTAGGATTAGGGTCTGGAGCGTTCGACTGGTTATTGTTGTCAAAAATAGCTACACTAGTTCAGGTGTAAGCAAGGTCAAGGGATATTTGGAAGACAGGCTGATACGTCTCAGAAGAGCACTCAACGACCATCGTTGACAGGTAGTCGTCGTCGCTGCCACGACACTCATCATTCTCCAGCATTATTATAATCACCAGCAGTAGTGGCAGAGAAGTGAGAAGTGTCTCATCGGCAATCGATTCTATTAGCTTGAGAAGGCATTCGCGAGTAACGAGTGATTCCACATACGTTGTAGCCAATGCACGCCTCTAACGAGGAACGAAGACAAGCACTGTAACGTTAGCAATCACTCTATATAATAGAGCCGCACAGACGAATTAACGCGCACGAGCGGGGAGACCACACAAAAGACGGTGGTAGTGACGAGGACGAAGAATTCATAGACCAGTGGTTTGGAGCTACATGTGGATGATAACAAGACACACATAGAGATGAGTCAGAGTAAATACTGAGAGCGCTACAACTGCTCGTATTAATCGGACTTCGTAACAGGTACTCGGTGACGTCCAGTTTACTGATGAAGCTGCAGAGGACGGTTGGTGGGATTACCGACGTATCTGGTAGGACGTTTACACGAGGGCACTCGATGGGAGTAAGCTAACTGTGGGGTGTGCTCTGCATGTATACGGTACCGCCCTGCGCCGAGTAACCCCACGTGGTCTCAGATGGGACAAGGGTTCATTCTGGGAAATTCGGCTCATCAGTGAATCGCTCGTTAGATTTATGCTTTAATCGTCAATTGTATGACGTGACACTTGGACTCGCGATCGGTCAAAAGTTATGTAACAAAGGCAACGGGTGTGATGCTAATGATGTAAAGTTGGACAAAAATGTAAAATGTGGGTAGTAGTAGATAGACTCACCTGCCACCTGATAACTCATATGATGCTGGGATGGTGCTCTGAATGCTTTGGTCAATGGGGCTAACAACATTCATTGAGGGTTTACACGGGGACCCCTTCTCCATGGTTCTCGCTTGAGGACTGGATAAGGAGTTTGCCGCAGGTGAATTACCAGTCTCTGGTTTCATGATCCCCATATGATATTGGTTCGACGGAGTTGTAGATTCGACATCGGACATCTGAGGGGTCGGCATGCGCGCTTTACTCTCTGCTATCGATTGAGAGTTCGCGTGTGGGCTTTCATCTGGTGAACTACCTTCGCTTAGCGTGCCGACATCTTTAACGGGGGACTCCTCCTGATTGTTGGCGCTTTTACTAATAGGAATCGTGTACTGCTGTGAGGCACCCTCGGGCATCGTGCCAATCGCCACAGAGTAGCCCTCTTTCTGACACTCAGCACAAACCCATGGAAGACTACGGTCGACCGGCTCTTCCAGCTTGGGCACATGACATTCAGAGTGGAATCCTTTGTCACATGCGTCACAAATCAACAGTTCGGTCTGAAGATAAAAAAGGAAAGTGACCATGGCGAGACGTATACTAGTGAAGAGGCCGAAATATCCCGTACATGGCACTCGAGGAGGGGAGATGGAAGGTCAGTGTAGTGACAGGTGCGAAAATGCATTGCAGAAGGAAAATTCATATAAACTATCCTCAATCGGTTAGAGCGCATGCGATAGAGTTCAGGTCAAACGTATGGACGTCAGTTTATTCGAGTGGTGGAGGTGAGGACCACACGTGAAACTCGATTGTGTGCTGGACAGGTCCCATTGTTGGCCGAAGCGACCACAATCACTATGAACTAGAAACCCAAAACATGGTCTCATACACACTGCGTTGTCCCAACCCAGCACCGAATTGAAAGAGTGGACAGAGAATAGTTGTTGGTGAAAATCATGTTTGAATGACACTGGTAGGTAGGTAGTTTTGCCTTTTGACGAAATTGTGTGTATGCCTAAAACTCATGGAAATTATGGGATTTTGCTGATTTCTCAATTGTGCACATAATCACAGCACAAGCGATCAAATTAATTGATTGCCTCTCCAATAGCATGGCAACTCCTAAGGGACTATCAGAAAAGTTTGTGTGACTTGCAAAACGACGATTAACAATGAAAACGGAGGGATGATAGTTCGCCGACCAAAGGTAATGCGCAATGTTGCAAACTGATCGTTAGTATGTGGATCAGGGAAATGGTTGTTAAGTGTCAAAAATATGCAGCACTCACTGGGCAACTACTCGTCTGTGATCATGGGAACCTTCGCAGAATTGACCATATCAAATAGAAAGAGTGAATGGGTGTTTGCGATGCACGCTAGAAAGATCGTTACCATACAACGACTGCTAGACGTGGGCGTCACTCACTTAATGCCCAAAACAGAGAGTAATACTATTCTGTAGAGACCTGTGTGAAGTGCACACAAATCTAGTCCATAGGGTGTCAGCGTACAACAGTGCGCTTCACACTGCGCACAATAAATAGACTGAGAGCTCGCCATCTCGAAGGGGAAATCAGATGCTTGAAAGGCCCCTAGGAGTCTGGTGGGTTTAACACCAAAGGTAATACAATCCATCCAAACAGCGGAATATGATCCATAATGGTGTGGGTTTTTCCAGTAGTGTACTTGAGTTCGTTTCACGTGAGAAAGCACTGTATCCTTCCCCAAAAGTAATGTGCAGCTTCGCTGGTGAACAATAGGTGTGTAACAAATTGTTGGCCAAACAGCGCATCATTCACGTGGGAAGCAGAATACCACTGTGTTAAAAAAAACGAACTTTCGACGTTATTACAAGAGTTCAGTTTCCTTTTAAACACAGTAGTATAATCAACACGACAGAAGGCGCTTTAGCCGAACACATCGTTAACCCTATGGAAGGCGATAATTAGTAAAAGCTCATACAAGAGCGATGAGCTATTCCCTGAGTTGAGTTGAAAATGTAAGTCACTTTGAGATACGAAGCCCGCAAAACTGAATTCCGGTGCTCGTAGTTATGTAGTCCGATGATGACAAACATTTTTCGTCGGTAAGCACCCTTATCTGGTGTGCACGTTGTGTGCTTCGGTGAATCGATCGCTGTTGACACGTGCAGCCGACCAAGCGCACAGAACCCGTGCTGCCGTACAGTGGTTTTGCATTCAAAGATGAGGAATGACGGTGATTGAAATGTAAAAAGGAGTGAATTATAGAACCGAATAGTCGGCAGCATTGGAACAGAAATCAACAATCGTCACACGGCAATATCCCATTGAAAATTGAATAGAATTGTAGTAAAACCCTAGGGGTTTGGGGACAATTCAGTCGTTCACCTACCGTGAGCTGTTTGTTCAAGCAGACGCTACAAACTTTGCAATCTGTACACTGCCACGGTGACTGACGCGCTCGTTCGGTCAACTCCGGCCAATAGTCCAAGCAAGTCGGATGAGCTGCGGAGGGAAATGGAGAAGAGAGAGATGAGGCTGAATCCATGGAGGCGATTAACAATGAAACCAAGCCCTAACGCAACGAATATGTGAAGAGAGTTACAACAAAGTGAGAACATGCCTTTACCGACATCCTTATCGAAGGAATTGGAAGGGGCATTTGAGCACTCTCCAATTACCAGATTTAACGGAGCCGCGCATGCGAATTCTGTTTCAGTTGACCTATCCTCCGGATAAACGTTGGGAACATCAAAGAACGAGGAGCGCGCTCTTCGGTTGACAGCATCAAAGAGGCCACAAGGTGAGTTCCTATTCAAGGGAAAGAGTGACAAGTCACTCGGGGATACCGCTGCCCAATACAAAGCGGCCGAAATTGCGCGTAATATCTCTGAGAGACAGGCACTTCCGAGTGGACGTTGACGAAACCACATATGGCCCGATGGATTTGGATGCCAGGCCAAGAAGTAAGCATCTTCTTTTGGACCACGTGAACCATAGAGAGTTCTGTCAGCGCGAAGAAAGGAGAGGAGCGCCGGAATGAAGTAACGATAAGTTCCACCCAATACACTAGAATAGCTCGTATACTGGAAGCGCAGAAAGTGGCCGACTTACTTCGGTCGTTTGGAGAGGTAAAATGCGTGCAGGCAAGTAAGACAACATTCATGGTTGTTTGCTGAGAAATGTCCAAACAAACAACCGAATTTCAATGGTGGTTTGTGCGTTTGCTGAGTGGATCCCGGAATCAACGGATCATCTCGTTTAGTGGATACAGATATGCCAAGGGGAACGCCGGTGGAAGCAGCTTGGGAGGGCAGTATCGTTACTTCAGAGGGTTCGGATCGATCAGGTTCAGTCGGTTCGTTCTTCGGCCAATAGAGTAGCCGTAACTGAGGTTGCATTAATATGGCACGGTAATCGGACTGAAATACGCTTGAGTTCACAAACTTGATTGGCCCAGTATAACAACCCTCTTTCGTGTTTGTGTGATCGGTGGATGAGTCAGCCAGAAATACGAACTTCAGCTGACCATCGATATCATGCCGAAGTTGCGAACCGGTGTGCAAGCCCAAAATTCGATGGATGAGATAGACCAGCGTGTAAACAAGCTGCTGTGGTGTTGATTTGCCAAAAAACTTTCTCCGCCATAAGAAGCTTTCCGGTGGGGTGAGATTAAACGTTGGATCAATCAAGTATAATTGAATCGGCCCTTTTCGTAACTGGTAGTTAGTGAGTGGGAGAAGGTGTTGGGGGGGATGAGCAGGAAGGGGGGGGGTGGAGGGATGAGGACTGAGTGG